GCAAATGTTGTCAGAGCAAGAAAGCAAACTTTATGAAATTGTGCACCAAATACCACAAGAGTTACATTCACCCTATTTCGTTTAAGATGTTCAAAGAGTGGTATATGCGAAAAAAAAGTTGGGTTTCGAGGAGTCTCTTGTTCAATAATTGCTGTGTTTACTTCCATTTAGAGTGAAAGTGTTTGATGAAGAGATTTGAAGGTCGATTCTACCAGAAGACGACAGCGGATTCCTTCTTATCGGCTGTAGATTGACTTTACTGGAACATTCATGCTGACGTTCTTTCCGAAGTTATCTCTTCGATTCCGGTGAAAAGGTGCTAAGCTTTCGTCCGTCACATGATGAAGATCATCAGAGCAAGGTATCATAGTCACAACCAAATTCAAGCTAATGAGTCACCAGAATCGAAGGATGTTACTTCGGAGACAGCGTCAGCATTCCATCGGCCGTCGTCTTCTGGTGGAATCGACCTTTGAATCTCTTCACGAAACACTTTCACTCGAAATGGAAGTAAGCACAAAAAAGAGTAGTTGTTGAATTTGCCAACAAAAATATGATAAGTTATTATGTTTCCATTGAATTTCACAAAGCTTTACTTCCCAGAAGCTATTCTCATCCCGACTGGAGCCGTCTGCAGTTGTGAACTCGTCTAGGCTTAATCAGCACTCATAACGGGACTCGAACCCTGCGAGTGCAGCCTACACTATGAACACACCAACCATTGCGCCACACTACCACATAAGGTCTGCTTATATGATTTTGGGAAAATTCAGCTACCGGTCCTTGATCTTCTTAAACCTACCCATGCAACGACAAATACACTAAGCCTAGAAAGTAATGGTGACCCGGTGCAATCACACTCACATTCGTGTAGATGACAGAGTTTGAGGTATGAAAAGAAAGTGGATGCATAGGCCTAAATAATCAAACCTATGATTCTACAATGACTGTGTGCATTCATGTTCTAAATGGATGCAAGCCACTCAAGCTCCCTTCTCTTATTCAGCGATTCTTCATATTCCTCCTCTTCCTGTATCACTTTAAGTCTATGCAACAACCGCAAATAATTCCTGTACAATTTCCTACAATCCTTTCTTCTGTGCCGGATGTTGGCTAGTTTGTTAATTTCTTACGCCTTTTCATAAAGTCCCGCAACCAGTCTTTTGAGTCTCCTGTATCAATCATGTGTTAAGCAAGCTCAACTGTTTGTTTTGTGCCCACATAGTCTCATCTGGATCGGTTGTCAGGCCTCCCCACACAGACACTACTACATGAGCACAATACCTTGTAACAACGTTATCTGGAAAGAAGGCCCAACAATTCTGAAAAGAAAGTGTTTTGATGCTCCACTTCCTCAGTAGGTAACTCAACTTTTCACCAGCTGACGGGATGGCAACATCAATAAACGAGTAGTGAAAAGTAGTTGTCAATCAATTCAATTGGATAACTATTTTGAATTAAAATATTCCTCAATCTACTGCTCAGTATCAACAATTTCTTAATACCTAATTTAATCACAAATGCTTGATTAAAAAGAAGATAAGAACTAAACCTGCCTGCGTGGGTTCCCCAAACACTCTTCAACCCAACTTTGCTCACCAAGACATTGAAAAAAAACAATATATCGGCCGTTTCTTAGTCTATATAGTGAATTTAGTTATTTTTCATATGTAAGTATAGTTTTGAGACTACCATTAAATCAGTAATATGAGATGTGTTCACCCTATTTCGTTTAAGATGACAAAGGACTGGTAGTAGAATTTCCCCACAATTTTTGTGAGTAGAGCCGACTATGAATTTAAAAGTTGGGGGTGTCGATGAGACCTATGCGAGGTCGAAGCGGCAGTCCACTCTGGCCGGGATGAGAACAAATTTGGGAAAGCAAGGCTGTGTGAAATTGAACGGAAACGTCAGCTCTACTCATCTGATTGTGGGAAAATTCTATTACCAGTTATTCATCACCTTACACGGAATAGGGTGAACACATCTCATATTACTGATTTACTGGTAGTCACGAAAACAATACTTAATTTGAAAAGTACTTCTTATACTTGTTTATTTTGACCTATTCCCGAGATGGGGTCTTTTGAGCATATTCATGGTACATGATCACATTTCCCGCCCGATCAAGTCGAGCTCATGCAACTTAATTTCAATTGCGTTGATACATACTACTTCCGAGTGAATCAGACGTGTTTAAAGATATATTTTACGAATTAAGTATTGTTTTCGTATAGTAGTCGATTGTTATAGCAGATATACGTTTGCTTCATCGACAGCTCCACCAAATTTTGGGTAAGCAAGTCTATGGAAACTTCAATGGAAACGTCAGCTCAACTCATATAATTGTGGGAAAATTCTTCTTCTACCAGTCCTTCATCACCTTAAACAAAATTGAGTGAATACATCTCATACTACTGATTTACTGTTAGTCTCGACACAATACTTAAATGGGAATATAACAAAAATAAATTCTTATAAAGGTAGCTAGATATAGGATGATTTTGATATTCAGTTGTCAGGGTAATCTTAGTATATTTTTCGAATTAAGTATTGTTTTCGTATAGTAGTCGATTTTTATAGCAGATATACGTTTGCTTCATCGACAACTCCACTAACTTTTGGGAAAGCAAGGCTGTTTGAAATTGAACGGAAAAGTCAGCTCAACTCATCCGATTGTGGGAAAATTCTACTACCAGTCTTACATCACAATAAACGGAATAGGGTCAACACATCACTGACTATTTAGTATCGTCTGAAATTCATCTAATGTATGCTCTAATGCGTTTACAAAACAATAACTGATAACTTGAGAACTAAGAACGCTTCTTGTATTAAGCGATCTTTTCTATTGAGCCATACAGTTGTCGGCCAAAATGTAGGCTAAACACGATCCCATAGCTTAACCTCGGGCTTGCTCATACAGATTACAATTAAAGGTAAAATGTTTACCATCTATAACTAAATTAGTCAATCTAATGATTGAGGCTGTGAGCAAACTTTAACTTGCTAGAATCCTCGAATGTTGATCTAAAGTTTGCTTTAATGCTTGTGCAGCCCCAATTATCAGAATATTTCTGTACATAGTTTCTGTACATCGAAATTTTTGAGCTTACTTCCACTTCGAGTAAAAGTGTGTTTCGTGAAGCGATTCGAAGTACGACCTCATCAGAAGACGACAGCAGATTCCTTTTGGCCAGCTGTAGATTGGCTTTACTGGAACATTCTTGTTGACGCTGTTTCCGAGGCAGTCTCCTTCGACCGTCGTGTGACGGATATCGTCAGAACAGGAAATATTCCTTGAAACCATATTCAAGTTAACGAGTTCAGAAAACTCGCAGTTATTCGAAATAAAAGTAATATCAACAATTGTAAAACAAGAGATTCCTCGAGACGCAACTTTTCTTCACATCTTTTTAGGTTATTTTAGTAAATTTCATGTCTCTTATATGTCTGTTGTTTTTTAATTTTAAAATGTTTATGTGAATATTTTTAAATGGAGGCCAACAAATCAAACCGGTTTTTCGTGCTTGTAGACGATTGTCCCCTTTCCTATTGTTTCAGCATATTTGGGCCAATTTCGCTCTGTGTTTGTGTGTGTACGTGTGCTTTCGTACATGTGTTGCCACACTCAACCGTGAGGGTAGCAGCACACGGAGACCGGAAGCACCGGCCAAGCGAATGCGTAACTGGGCCGATTTGGTAGATGCTGGCTTCGCGAGGAAGTACAGCAAGTGCACATGAATCCAACGAGCTTGACGGTCTTTACCTGCCTCCGCCTCCATTTCTGTGCGGGTGTCCTCCAGTCATACTCTTCAGACTCATTTTCCCCTCCCGAAATTTCCTTTTTTCGTCTCCTCCTCCTCCTC